GGAAAGTGTCCCAAAATTGTTGGTCCAAGAGGTGAGAGTCAGGAAATACCTGGGCAGATAACTTCCAGGCCTTTGGATCAGCCTGATTTTGTGACTTGTAGACTGAGCTACCAAAAAAGAAAGAGTTGGTATGTGGAATGCCTAGGTTGTGCTGTGGCTGTGCTCATCTGGAATGTGTGTCAGAGACAAGTATGTTCTTAAAAAATGTGAATAGCCAAATTTTAAGTATGAGCAAAGCAAAAATAAACAGGAGTGGTAGAGCAGCTCAAGTGGTACAGTGCCTGCCTAGCAAGCGTGAGGCCCTGAGTTCAAATCCTAGTACTGCCAAACAAAACAAATAAATAATATGGATAGCCAAAGAAACAGGATACTACCAGGGTTCACTTCTGGGCCCTGAAATTTGAGGAGATTATGAATGAATTTGATAAAGACTGTCCAAGGGAGAAGAACCACGTGGTGGCAATGTCATAAACCTTGCCTCAAGAAAAGCAATTGGAGTTAGCTTTTTTGGTGGCACTGGGGTTTGAACTTAGTCTCATGCTTGCTAGGCAGGTGCTCTACCACTTGAGCCACTCTGCCAGCCCTTTGTATGTGTGTTTCAAGATAGTGTCTCTTGAAAACTATTTGCCGGGATGGCTTCAAACCATGATCTTCCTGAGTAGCTAGGATTACAGGCATGAGCCACCAGTGCCTGTCCTGAACACTGAGTTTTAACCTGGGAAGACAAGGACATTTCTTTCATAGCTATCATGTGGGGCATAAGACCTGTGAGATAGGCAGACAAAGATTTGAATCTTAGCTCTGCTAACTTTGAGATTTGGAGCAAGTACTTACACCTAATAAATGGTAGTTCTCTCATCTGTACACTGGACGTAGTGATATGGTAAACACTCTCTGCAACTTGTCTTTTTCCCACTCATATTCTAGAGATCCTTCCATATCAGTGCAGAGGAAGCCCCTCACTCTTTTTAACAGTGATGTCGTTTTTTCACTGTGAAGATGCAGCTTTGGATTATTTAACTAGTTCCATTACAAATAGAAGTTGTTTCTAACCTTTTGCTGTGGTGAACCATGTTACAATTGGTGGCCTCATTTATACCCGTACATGTATATGTGTAGGATAAATTTCCTGAAGTGGAATTTCAGCTGAAAGGGCAAATGCATGTGTAATTCTGGCATTGCTACATTTCTCTTCAAAGAGTTATAGCAATTTGCACTCCCAACAGCAGTGGGTGAAAGGGCTTATTTCATCATGGCCTAGCAACAGTGTGCTGTCTAGCTTAGTTAATCTCTTTTAATTTTTTTTAAGACAGGGTCTCACTATGTTGCCCAGGCTGGATTCAAACTCACTATGTAGTTCAGACTGGCTTTGAACTCTCGATCATCCTGTGTCAGTCTCTCAAGTGCTAGAATTACAGGCGTGTACCACCATGCCCAGAAATCTCTTTTAATTCTATGTGTGTATGTGTGTGTGCACATACCTGTGTGTGTTGGACAACCCTTTTCAAGGAGATAGAATTAACAAGGAAGGAACAGAGTTTAAATCATCTTGCAAAATATTATTCAACGTTGCTTAAATTAACAAGTGAAAATCTGATGAAAAACAGCATATACTCTCAAGGTATGTTGTTTAATAAAAAGGGGAAAACTCATTTATAGTAGAGAAACTTGGCAGGCACGATCTTAACCAAGTGATCAAAGTTAGCATCAGTAATGGAACAAGTTGACATTGCACACCTCCTGATGTGACACAGTAGGACACAGTATTACCTCTGTAGTATTACTGCCAAAAAATAGGATCATTTTAATTGTGAGGAAACCTAAGACACACAAATTGAGAGACTTTCTTAAAAATTAACTGGCCTACATTCTTCAAAAATGTCAATCATTAAAGACAAAGAAAGGCGGTGGAGACTGGGGTGTACCTCAGTGGTAAAGCACATGCTTAGCGTTCATGCAGTCCTGGGTTCAATCCCCAGCACCAAGGAGAGACAGAGAACTGTACCCAATGGGAGGAAACTAAAGGAACCCAATGCAATGTGTGATCCCTGACCAGGAAAAGAGGATTTTTTTTTTTCCACTATAAATTAGTGGTTTTCAGAATGTGGTCTAGGGGAGATCTTAACCTTTCAGTAGATGCATGAAGCCAAAACTATTTTAGCACATAACCATTTTTAATAATCCCTATATGTTACTGACAAGACTGTAAAGAAGTTCTAAGACCAAGAAGTTTTGAAAACCCCTGCTATAAAGTATATTAGTGGGATGATTGGCAAAATTAGAATAAGGTTTATAAATTTGAAATTAGTACTATATTTCAAATAATACTGTGTCCGTGTTAACTCCATCTTTTATCATTATACTGTGAGGACTCAAGGAATGTTCTTTTAGGAATTGCACATCTGACATGGATAAAGGGACATTATGAGGGTGGCTTACTGGGAGGTAGTACAGAGAAATAATTCAGTATCTTTGTATATGTGGAAGGGTGAGAGAATGAAAAGCAAACAGTAAAATTCTAGCTTTTGGGAAACTGAGCAAAGGGTATATAAGAATATTTTGTACTATTTTTGCAAGTAAGTTTGAAATTATTTCAATAATAAAAAAATTATTTTACTTTTGCAAATTTCTGATGACATTGTCATCTCCTGTAGTGTTTCCCTTCACTCTGGCTGTGTTGACCAGGGCCTCCTGCATGCCCTGTCTCTTCCTCCAAGCACACATCAGTCAGAGAGCAGTATCATTGACTGGGATGTTTGTCTTCATGTCTTGGTTCTCCCAGGAAGCACTGAACTCCTCAAGGGTAGGTCATCATTATGTCTCCAGGCCCAGCACCATATATTAGATTTTTTGTTTGCTTGCAGTGCTGGGGATTGAATCCAGGCCCACACATGCTAGGCAAGTACTCTACCATTGAGCTGCATCCCTAACCCTCAGTTTTTGCTAAATAAGTGCTCAGTGAATGTGTGAACAAATCACAAATCCAACCCAACCCCTGAGTCATAGTCTTAACTTCCTGGCCAGGTGGTCTCTGTGCCATCATCTCTTCTCTGCAGGAGTGTGCCAGGTCCCCTCCACCTGTCCTGCAGGGCCCCTTGTCTGCTCTCCTCCAGGGATCCTATTTGCTAAGCACAGGCCTCACAGCTCCTACAAGCTGGAGCACCAGATCTCAACAGATCTCTGTGTGTTGAGAAGAGCTGTATCGACAGCTCTTCCTGAAGTTACTGATACGGCTCGCATCCTCATTTCATGCTGGGCTCTCTTAATGTCAAGTCATTAGGGAGGTCTTTCCAACCACTCCTCAGTGGTGCTGGTACCTTTACCTCCTCTATTGCCCTGCTGTCATTTTCCCATGACTTGTTGACAACTGAATGACACAGCATATACTCTATTTTTTTTTCTTTCTGAGACAGTGTCTCCCTATGTAGTCTAGGCTGGCTTAGAAGTTCTGATCCACCTGTCTTAGCTTCCCGAGTGCCAGGGCACTAGCATGTACCACCACGCCCGGCTTCACTTTTTATAGATTGGTTCTTCACAGGACTGTTTCTTCAGTTGTCTTTAATTGGCAGTGACAATGGGCCTCTGAACATTCTGGGGTCCTTTGGGACCCCAGAAATTGGTCACACCGCACATGGTTGCAGGGGAAATCTCCTCAAAGTCCTGCTGCTGATCAGCTAAGAACTTAGACACAGCCTCGATCCAGATGATTTCCTTTCTAAAATCTCCATGATTGCAGCGACAACTTCAAGGAACCCTCAATCATCTGCCGTATGTGTCCTGTGAACACTGTAGCAGCAATCCTTGTGATACTGCTTTTGGCTCTTTATCAGAAGGAAATAGAAATAAGTCTGCCCTTTATCTCCATTAATGTTTTCTTTCTTTTTTTATGTACTGGTGTTTGATCTCAGGGCCTTGTCTTGCCAGGCTGGCATTCACTGTACCACCTGAACTATGCCCACACCCCTTTTGCTTTTGTTATTTTTTTGAATAGGGTCTCCCATTTTTCTCCAGGCTGGCCTGGATCATGATTCTCCTATTTATACCTATCACGTAGCTTGGATCACAAGTGTGCATCACCATACCCAGCCATTGGGTGAGATGGGGTCTCCCTGACTTTGTCTTGGCTGGCCTCGAGCCATGATCTTCCTGATCTCTGCCTACTGAGTAGCTAGGATTACAGGTGTGAGCCAGTACACCAGGCAATTCTATTAGTTTGAATTTACTTAATCTCCTCCAATAACTAGTAAAAATAACAATATACACAAACATATTTGGCTTATTTGCTTTTTCTTTTTTGGTGTGGCCCTGGGGTTTGAACTTGGGGCCTCATGCCTGCTGGATAAGCACTCTACCACTTAAGCTATGCCTCTAGCCCCCCTTTTTTTGAGACAGGGTCTTGCTTTGTAGCCCAGACTAGCCTTGAACTTGAGACCCTCCTGCCTCATCTTCTGACTACTGGCATGTGCCACCATGGTCAGCATTTATTTACTTGTTTGTTTATTTATTTACAGGGCTGGGAATTGAATCCAGGACCTCAGGTCAGGACTGCTATACAAGCACTCTCCCTCTGAGCCACACCCCAGCCTTATTTGCTCTTTAAGAAGTATTTCAGCAGTTGCATATGTTTTCTCTCTCTTCATACTTAAAACTGTGAGAGAGTATTGGACTGTATTCAGCACAATAAAGCTAGAACTTTCTGGACACTCAACTTGGCTAGTTATAGTCACCTATTTCTACTTCCCGATTTATTAACGAGAAAAAACATTCTCTTGAGTCATGTATTTCTGAAGCAAGTGTGAATTCTTGAACATGTTCTCCTCCTTTTCTATAAAGGTGAAAAGGAGAATGAGGGACTATGTGCAAGAAGGCTGGGCCACACTTTCCCTAGGGCTGACTGAACCTTAACTCCTGTACTAATTAAATAATGCCTGGTTCCATACTTTGCTTAACCCTAAGAACTGTTCATCAGCCTTTGACCTCAGCCCTCCCCTCCCGACCAGCTCCCTCCCCCACCCTGGCCTCTGGACCTCAATCAGATTTAGAGGAAGGAACCAGTTTTCAGAGAGATTGCCTCTGACCACACTATCTCCACTTGTCCTGTGAAAGCTTAGCGGCCATGTTTTCTCATGGGGTAGGAACTGTGGCTGCAGGAGGAAGGTAAGGGGGTAGATGTCCCCTTTGCATGCTTTCGCTGGGTTTTCTGACCTCTAAAGGACTCATGGGGATGACTTTCAACACCTTTGAGAAGACCAGGCCCTCTCCCTAGGGAGGAGGAAAACGTCATTTCAAGTGCCCTCCCACCCACACCCCTCTTGGGATAAGGTCTTGCACTAAGCCACACCTCAGGTTCTTAGCCCAAGAAGCAAGGGAGATGTCTTCCTTTGCGTAAAAATGGACAACCCAGAGGATGCCCTGAGGAAGATTCCTAGGGCCTGCCATATATCTGAAAAGAGGGCACATTTAATCCATGAGGACCTCCTAACTCACTTTTTGCTTCTCACATATCAGTTGTCCCCCTGCCCAAGATCTTGGTGACCTTTGACTAACTGGCCAAAACCCTGTTCACTTTTCCCAGCAAGACCCCTCCTCCCAAACACCACACACATTCTCTTCTTGATCTGGGTTGTCACAAGAGGCTAGAAGTGAAGCGGTGGCTCGGCTATCATGGTTTTTGTTTGTCTTTAACTGAGCACCAAGGGTCCTTCTCCAGTTACCATTTATATTTCCAAATGGGCCTGAAGGACAAAATGGGAAACAGAAGGCAATTGAAGTGAGGAGGTAGATGGCAGGGTTCTCTCAATCTCTTTCTCTCTCCCTTCCTCCTCCCGCCTCCCTTCCATCTCTCCCAAGTTTACTTGCTTCTCTTCCACTCTGTGCCTCTGTTCTTGAGCTGCATAGCTGGCCTCAGACCACAATACAAAACACCCCTTGGCTGCCTTCAGTTTGCAGCTAGTCCCTTGAATGTCTGGCAGATCACCTCACTGAGACTTTTCTGCACTGTGTGCCTGTTGTCTTCATCCAGGTAGAGACTGAGAAGACCCAGAACCCCTATGGAGACTCCCTTCTGTAGACCTAGGGACCCCAAGCCACCTGGAGGAAGCTTAGCCACCCTGTCCTAGCTACAAAAATATTATGGAGACTTTAATCTCTTGGTTTGCTCTATTGGGTGTCCAAATTCTCTTAATTTGTCAATCTCGCTATTGCATTTTGTTTGTTTTTGTTTTGTGACAAAGGGTTCCCTTTGCTATGTAGCACAGGCAGGCCTTGCACTTGTGATTCTCCTTCCTCAGCTCCCCACATGCTAGGATTACAGGCATGCACACTATACCTGGCTACTATAAGTTAGCTTAGTTTATTTTACATTTAATGACCCCTTGTTGGAAGCTCTTAAAAATTTCAAGCAGCAAAACACAATGAGCGCCTGAACTAAGGCAATGGCAATAACAGGTGAAAGGATAAGAAAGCCAAATTAATGGGTCTGGGATCTGACTAAATTATGGGGGTGAGAGGAGGAATCCAGGGTGACTCCCAGGTTTCTGGACTGGATGCCAGGAGACACGCAGGTCCCCTTTGCTGAATTGGAGGACTCAGAAGGAAAAAAAGATGTGTGGGTGAGAATGATGAGTTCAGTTGGGTCGTTTCACTGCTTGGACCTCCAGGTGGAATTGCAGACAGTCGGTCTGGAACTCTGAGGAAGGGTTAGGCTGGAGCTATAGAGAGATTTGGGAGTCTTCGACACATAGATGTTGCCTTTCCTCCACTTGTTCTTTCAAAATCTGCCGTTCAAAACCCTTCCCCTCCTTTAAGATACACGTAAGTTCTACTTACTTACAAGGGCTTCCCTGAACAGCTTCTATAAGTGGCTCCCCTTACCATCCTAACTCTTCATTGGGCATTAAATTTCCTGCCTATTTTCCATGTGTGCATGTTTGCTTGTCAATAGGAATCTTTGTGTTCCTTATTTCTCATTGAGCACCAACACTCCTTATACATGACTGTGACCAGGGAAGGGAACTATCCAGTTGCAAGGAGTCCAGGACTAGACCTGTCCTGGGTCCTTGTGCTTGTCTTAAAGGCTTTGGCCCTCCTCCTGGCTACCACAGGTGGGATGGAATCCTGTGCTTTCCTGAGGGCAAATATGGGGGTGACTGGTGGGGATTGGGGGATTCCAGTCTAGCTTAAGCTTAACTCAGTGTTCTGTCCTCTTGTAGGAAGCTATGTCTCCTCTCCTTGCTGCTTATTGGCCTCTGGGGCTGTGTGGCCTGTCAGGGGAACCCTATAGAGGACATCTGTACCGCCAAGCCCCGGGATTTTCCTGTGAATCCCATATGCATTTACCGTTCCCCAGAGAAGAAAGGAACTGAGGAGGAGGGCTTGGAGAAGAAGATCCCTGAGGCCACCAACCGTCGGGTCTGGGAACTGTCCAAGGCCAATTCTCGCTTTGCCACCACCTTCTATCAGCACCTGGCAGATTCCAAGAATGACAAAGACAACATTTTCCTGTCACCCCTGAGCATCTCTACAGCTTTTGCTATGACCAAGCTGGGTGCCTGTAACAACACCCTCAAGCAGCTAATGGAGGTACAATCAAAAGCCCCCTGCCAAGCTTCTTGTTAGGGAGCATCTTGATGGGTTTCCACAGGCCCAATGACTCCTAAACCAAAACTACAGGTCGCTTAGGGGAGCTCACTGTGGATGTTAGATTCTCTTTGTATCATCACTTCATGTGTCATGGTTCCTTTTGAAAATCTTTTTTAAATTTTTTGGTGGTACTAGCGTTTGAACTCTGAGTCTTGCGCTTGCTAGGCAGGTGACAACTGCTTAAGCCACACACCAGCTCCCATTTTTAAAAAATTAAGCAAAGAATTACTGACCTGGATGTCTGTTTTTAAATCTGAGTTTCCTCTGCTAGAATGCCTGTGTCTCTTGCAACTTCTTTTTTTAATCATTCTTTTCATTATGTATTTGTTCATTCATTAGATCATTTATATGTTTATTCTGTACTACCTCTGTGCCAGGCAATGTACTTGAAGGTGGAGATTCCCAGTTCCTGCCCTGGTAAAGGAAGGGCACTTACCTTGGTGAGCTGGGGCATATGGACTCTTGTGGATGAAGATTCTAGGACTCTATATTGAGACCTGGAGTCCTAAGTAGATAAGAGAGGCCTCAGGATATGACAACATTTTTTGGCTGTGGTCAGTATTTATCACTTTAGATCAGTGACTTAATTAAGTAGTCACTGATATTACTATAATAAAGTCACAGATGGATCAGGTACTGGTGGCTCACCCTTATAATCCTGGCTACTCAGGAGGCAGAGATCAGGAGGATCATGATTCAAAGCCGGCCTGGGCCAGTAGTTTTTTAAGACCCTATGTCAAAATACCCAACTCAAAAAAGGGCTAGTGGAGTGGCTCAAGTGATAGAACCCCAACCTAGCAAATGTGAGGCCCTGAGTTCAAGCCCCAGTACCACTAACAAAAAAAAAGTCACAGATGGAAACACTAGATCCTTAATCTGCCATTGGCTTGCGTTCTTCAAATTGGATCTCACTTTTGGAAGCAAAAGTAAACCCTTCAGCGTGGTACACAGTGTTTTGTGGAATCCCAGACACTAAAGTCTGTGGATCTTAGGAGGACTTACTTCTACTCTAGTGGCCAATTTCCACTAAACTTCATTAATTTGTTCAGACTCTGGGATGAGAACTCAAACTTTCACTACCTGATAGAAACTAGCTGTAGAAATTCTTGCCGGGCGCTGGTGGTTCATGCCTGTAATCCTAGCTACTTGAGAGTCAGAGAACAGGAAGATTGCAGTTCCAAGCTGGTCCTGGGCAATTAGCTCATGAGACCCTATCACAAATAAACTCAACACAGAAGAGGCCTGGAGGAGTGGCTCAAGTGGTAGAGTGCCTGACTAGCCAGCATGAGGCTCTGCATTCAAACCCCAGTGCTACCAAAAAAAAATTTTTTTTTCTGGGCTCTCTTTTCTACTAATTTAGTTCTGTGTGTTTTCCCAATACCATGTGTTGAAGAGACTCTCCTTTCCCTGTAATGTATTCCTCATGTGACTGGTTGATTATATACTAGAAACTCTTAAGACACCAAATACTGCCTCCTGTTGGCCTTCAGTAATCTATATACACTGATATTGGCCTCACAACAATTCCATATAGCCTATGTGTCTGTCACCAAGTGAGATGGTGACTCAAAAGAAGAACAGAAACCAGGGCTGGGAGTATGGCTCAGTGGTAGAGTGAAGTCTGACTAGCATGTGCAATGCCCTGAGTTCAGTCCCCAGCACCACAAACAAAAGAAAACAAACCCCACCAGAAACAACATAATTTCCAAACTAAGCATGTCTCTAAAGTCCTCCTTTCTACAAGATCTTCCAGCACAAGATCTTGCTGTATATTAGACACATGGATTGGAACTCTTATCTCTACAGAGAAAAGAGAAACTTAGCACCATGCTTTTAGTCAAAAGCATGAGCACCCCTCAAAAAAGATGCATACTAGAACAAAACCATAAAAGCCAAAGTGAGATAACAAATAAGACCAAAAGGCCTCTGTCACCAAGGACAGAGCATAGGAGAGAGGGAAGAGCAGCCTCCCTATTTTGCTTTGGTGAGGGTTGTTGGGGGACATTGCAGCTTCTAGGCTCTGGTTGGCAGAGATGACTTTTAAGTCCTTTCCAGCTCCGAGACCATTTGATTCTGAGTCTTTTATCCCTTGCTGATGGATTTGCTCTTTTCCTTTCTCAACCTAACCACTGCCAATATCCCAGAACTCCCAAGAGCTGCTGACCCAGTATATGCCATAAAAGCGTTTGTTACAAGAGTCACTATCTTGATTCCTTTCTGTCCAAAATTGCCAAGTGGGCTTTTCCCATTCTAGTATGAGAGCATTTGTGTGTTGTTCTAGAGTCCTTTAGAGATTGTACGTGGCATTCCAGGCTCTCTGGTCTTTCCTTTTTCTCTTTATGCTTCCTGACCTTTATTCTTCTTCTATCCATTTATTTACTTAAAAACATGAGCTGAGCATTTATGCTGTGCCAGGCACTGTGTTTGAAGGAGCTGACAGTTGAGGTGGCTGGTGGACAGGGGCAGACCAGCACTGTGCTCAACACGATGTTAATCAGGCTGCCCTGACAAACACACTACCATTTTCCTTCGGCTTCCATAGGTTTTTAAGTTTGATACCATCTCTGAGAAAACATCTGATCAAATCCACTTCTTCTTTGCCAAACTGAACTGCCGACTCTATCGAAAAGTCAACAAATCCTCTACCTTGGTATCAGCCAACCGCCTTTTTGGAGACAAATCCCTTACCTTCAATGAGACCTATCAGGAAATCAGTGAGATGGTCTACGGAGCGAAGCTCCAGCCCCTGGACTTCAAGGTGAGTTTTCCCCAGACTATTTTTTCCTTTCTTCTTTTTTGTTCCTTTATTTCTTCCTATAATATGTATTAACTATATGAAAATTTAATGACACTATATTAGGTATGTGAGATCTCCATAGTTTGGTTAACATGATGGCTTCTAAACCAAATGTTGGGAAAAACAGAGTGGTGATGAACAAAATAAAATTCTGCAGGGGGAAGTGGAGAAGCCAGTTGAGTAGCACAGGTGGGTAAGTTTGTTTCCTGTTCTCCTTAGGAAAATGCAGAGCAGTCCAGAGTGACCATCAACAATTGGGTAGCCAATAAGACTGAAGGTCGCATCACTGACGTCATTCCCTCGGATGCCATCAATGAGCTCACTGTCCTGGTGCTGGTTAACACCATTTACTTTAAGGTACTCCAAATGGTCCTGAAGAGACCACAGTGACTTCCTCTTGCTCTTCAGCTCATCTTCTTTCATGTCACTGGGCACGTGTAGGTAGATTCCTTCTGAGAAATGGTCTGGGCACACATATAAATTGGTTGAGGACCCAGAATCTTTATGGCCATGACTGCTAGGCTGAGGTCCAGGGGTCTTGGTAGTATTCCCAGGCTGGGGAAGAGTATGCCCCCTCACAAACCCAGTATCCCCAGCTTCCAGGTGTGTATGGTGATAAAGTCTCATAGACATATGACAATGTCGGCCATTCAGTTAACTCACTCAGTTAATTCATTTGAGACCTGGAGCAAAGTGAGAGTCTGGTGACAATTTTCAGGGATGACATTTGTCCCCATTGTCTGCAGCAGCTTCCACAGTAGCTCATAGTTCCCCTTGCCCTTGCCTGGAGCTTCTGAGACTCCAGATGCCACCTCACCTCAGACCAAACAGGGGCCCTGTTATTTGACCATGTGAGCGGCCTGCCTTCTTCAAAGTGTCAGGAGTTCCAAGGACTGTTCCAATTTCAGTACATTTGGGAAGGAAAAGGGAGAGGAATAGCAGACCATTGACACTCATAAGGGACACCAGTGTAAGGCAGGTGGAATCCTGGCATGTTTTGCCCATCCTGGGACATGATCTGTGTACGTTCTTCTTTCCTTCTTCCATGTTGCATAGGGCTTTAGCCCATCACTGTCTCTTGGAGATTTCTCTCTCACTAAAGATAGAGCAGACTGACCGCATCTTCATAATGTGTTATCCTTTACGGTTTACAGAACAATTTGCTATTTATTAGCCCTCTCGATCTTCACATCACAAATGAGAACTTGGGCTGCTTATATGGATTACTTAGCTTGAAATCTTGACTCATCTGTTTCTGAGTGCGTGAATTCTTAATTCTTGTGAGTTATCTGGGCCTTCTCTTCTGCCCCATATTCTGCATCTATAAGATGGTAATAATGACTCCTACTTCATAGGATTACTAAGAGGACTGAACAAGTGAGTGCATGTAAATAAAATGCTTAGAGTCATGCCTGTACACCCTTCGTGTATACAGTAAGCATTCTGAAATTATAGCTCTTCCCAGTCTATAATTTTCCTAGTCTGAGAAACCCACCACACAAAAGAGTTAAGTCCCAAGAGCAAAGAGCCAGGAAGTGATAAGCAGTGGTGCAGTAAGTTGGCCAGGAATAACCTTCTGCTTGACAGGGCTTCCAGACGAATCCCTGAGGTTATTATCTGTGCCTGGCCTCCATTCATCAGGGCAGAGCCTAGAACTTTGGAAGTTAGTTGCTGGAAAAAAGGCTGGGGATGACAGACAGCAAAACACAACTAGAGACAAACTTGCAAAGAAGCTGGTAGGTTATTATTGGGTTTGGATTTTTTTCTGATTATAAAAATAAAAATGCAGAAAATCTGAGAAATGCAGAAAACACAGAACTCCTAATTCTTCACTCTGACATAGTTATTAATCTTTTCCTACATATACTGTCAGGTTTTTTGTCCTATTTATACTAATCTATATTAATGAAATAATAACGTGAACATGTCCCACATCAATAAATAATTCTCCTCTGGGTGTTTTTGTTCTTGCTTTGTGATTCTCCCACCTGGAATCTGCTTCTAGGGCCTGTGGAAGTCAAAGTTCAGCCCTGAGAACACCAGGAAGGAACTATTCTATAAGGCTGATGGAGAGTCATGTTCAGCGTCTATGATGTACCAGGAAGGCAAGTTCCACTACCGGCGCGTTGCTGAAGGCACCCAGGTGCTTGAGCTGCCCTTCAAGGGTGATGACATCACCTTGGTGCTCATCCTGCCCAAGCCTGAGAAGAGCCTGGCCAAGGTGGAGCAGGAACTCAGCTCAGAGTTGCTGCAGGAGTGGCTGGATGAGTTGGAGGAGATGATGCTCGTGGTCCACATGCCGCGCTTCCGCATAGAGGATGGCTTCAGTCTGAAGGAGAAGCTGCAGGACATGGGTCTTATTGATCTCTTTGACCCCAAGAAGTCCAAACTCCCAGGTTGGTGTAGGAAGGAATCACTTCGTCCCTCTGCCCCCAGCATGTTTTGACCAAAAGAGAAGAGTTGAAAAAAGAATAGAAAAGAGCAAAACAAGTCAATGTACCTGGGTTCTGATTCCAGCAATACTCCTAACTTAGGAAATCCTTGCCCTTTTGAGAACTTTCTTCCCTCTTCTGTAAAAGGGAGAATTTGCTCTTGTATTTCCAAGGGTCCAACGAGCACTGGCACCCTAAGAGTTTATATCTGATAGAGGAGATGACAAGGTGAAGAACTAAAAAGGCATTGGAATTCAAAGCAGACACATGTGGTGGTACATGTCTGTAATCCAGTGCTCAGAAGGCTGAAGCAGGAGGATTGTGAGTTTGAGGTCATTGGGGTTACATAGTAAGACCCTATCTAAAAAATAAAGACAAAATAGCTGGCATGGTTGTTCACAGCTATAATTCCAGCTACTCAGAAGGCCAAGGCAGGAAGATAGTTTTAGAATAGCCCATGCAAAATTGAGACCTTATCTCAAAAAAGGCCTGGAGGCATGGCTCAAGTGGTAGAGCATTTGCCTCACATTTGTGATCACCTGGGTTTCAACTCCAGTAAAATAAAAATAAATGAAAATAGGCATTAAAGTATCTTTTTTAAAAAGAAGTTTACAACATTGGATAATTGGATTTAATCTTTACTAGGCTGTCTTTAAACCAGTCCTGAAGTCAATACTTGTCTTAAAAAGATATTCCTACTAGGTAGGTAGTGGTTTTTTTCCTTTAAGAACAGAGGGCCACCCGTCCCCTGCCTTAAAAGAGCTGAAGCATGAGATTAAATTCACATGAACCAGGCTGAACAAGCCTAAAGTACTTTATTATTTTAAACATGTATTCATTATGGGTGTTTCATTAGGTGATGGTTCAGGATTTCTATTTTTTAAGAAAAGCCTCAAAGGACCTCTTAATTAAAACCGATTTCCTGTCTGTGGGTTGAAGCCAATTTACCGCCTTTTCAGAGCATTCTCTGGTCCTCCTTCCAGGTATTGTTGCAGAAGGCCGGCAAGACCTCTACGTCTCAGATGCATTCCACAAGGCATTTCTTGAGGTGAGTCACCTACTTAGCTCGCTCCTCCTATGATGCTTTTCTGCCACTTTAATATTTACTGCATCACTATCGCATGCAATTTGTGCCCCTGGCATTCTTCCTGCAGTGGTTCTTAGGATATAGATAAACAGATTTATGAGCAGCAGGATACAACGGTGGAACAGGCATGTTTCCAGTGCACCTTAAATCCCAAATCTGTAGCCCTCTCCTCCGTGAGACCTGCTACCATATGGCCCTCCACTGAAATCCTCGCAGTCTGGCTCTTTTGTCCTCCCTCCCAATACCTCTCCTTAGCAGGTCAAGCAGGGACACAAACATTTAGAGGAAGGTGACAGGAAAAAGAGTCAGCCAAGGCCATTAAGACAGAATTCAGAGAGGAGGAGGAGAACCAAGAGTTTTAAGAAAATGGAAAGCATCTAGTTAGAAGATTGAAAGTGAACACAGCTTACTTCTTCTGAGGAATCTGGACAGAACGGGCTGAAGAGCTAATGGAAGCTAAGAAAGGGAACCAGAACATGACACTGGGTCACGTTCTGGAGAACAGAGCACTAGATTACCTTGTAGGCAACAGAAGTTAGGTGGGCACAGGGACATACGTCCTCTTCCTAAGAGGACGCACTGGGGTGCTGAGGTTGGAGAAGTTCCACAGTGAACAAAATGCATAGGACCTTTTATAAGTAATGTGCAGCTTCTGGTTCTCAAATACTAAACTATGAACCAATGGCATTAGTCATCTGGAGATCTTTCCCCTTGGAAGATTCTGGAATGGGGGCTCAGAATCTGTTTATTTACAGAGCTCTTCAGGGGATGTTCATGTACAATTGAATTTCAAAGACACTGGTGTAGACTGCTCTTTGTGGAAGCCAGGCTGTGAGGAAAAGGAAGATGGGTCAATGTTAAGGAAGTTTACAGGATGAGATGGCAAAGAAAGAATGTTGTGCTCAAAGAGAAAGGTTTCAGAGCACAGTGCCAGTAAACACAATTCTGGTGTCCAAGTTCAGCGGGAAGTGTTTTGGTTCCAAGGCAAGTGGAAGGATCAAGGGAAAGGAGGAAGTCAGAAAACATAAGGATCCTCATCTTTTTTTTTTTTTTTCAGTATTGGGGTTTGAACTCAGAGCCTATACCTGGAGCCACTCCACCAGCTCTTTTTTTGTGATGGATTCTTTTGAGATAGGGTCCTGGGGACTATTTACCTGGGCTGGCTTTGAACCATGATCCTTCTGATCTCTGCCTCCTGAGTAGCTAGGATTACAGGTGTGAATCACCGGCACCCGGCTGATCCTCATCTTCTAATAGCACTAGTCTGTTCATAAATTTAGTCCTAGAGTCAGTATGAAACAGATAATATGAGCAGAGAGAAGGTAAGTACGGGAGAAAAAGAATGAGGGGGACAACAAAGCCATCATTAACCAGCTCCACAAAGCTCACAGATCTAAGAGCTTCAAGAGTCAGGAACAGAGCTGGGTGTTTGTGACTCATGCCTGTAATCCCAGCTACTTGGGAGGATGAGATCAGAGGATTGCACTTCAATGCCAGGCAAAAACGTTCCCAAGACCCCTTCTCAATTGATAGCTGAGTACAGTGGTGAGTGCCTGTCATCCTAAGCTATGTGGAAAGCTGAGATCAGGAGATTTGCTGTTCCAAGGCTAGCCATCTCAATGGTGGCATATGCCTATCATCCTAGCTACTCTGTGGGAAGTTTAAAATAGGATTGTGGTCCAGGCTGGCCTGGGCAAAAAGACCCTATCTTCAAAGTAACCAGGGCAAAAAAAGGGCTGGTGGTGTGGCTCAAGTGGTACAGCACCTTCCTAGCAAATGCAAAGCCCTGAGTCAAATCCCAGTACCACCAGAAAAAAAGTCAGGGATAGGCCCAGTATGGTGGCACATAGCTATAATCCCAGCACTCAGAAGGCCAAGGATCATGAGTTCTAGGCCAACTTGGGCTGCATAGTGAAACTCCTTCTCAAAACAACCAATCAAACACAAAAGTTAGTGATCTTCTGGGTTGTCAGGCAACATTTTTTTCTTTTTTGATCGTACTGGGGCTTGAACTCAGGGCCTCACACTTCTAGGCAAGGGCTCCACCACTTGAGGAGGCAACAGTTTCTGAAGGTTTTAGATATGTGGCAATTCCACTTACCAGCCAAGTTCAAATACCACTGTCTCAGTCTATTACTCCAAGAAAAACTCACCTCATCCATATGGAAGACTGTCCTCTTTTCGTAAGCCGTAGGCCCTGAGTAGCTGCTTGGGTTAGTCAAATCTATGATTTTAATAGTCCAAGACCGAAACTATTTCAACTATAGACCTCTGATCTTGAATCAGAACCTCTTAGCAGCTGGTACAAAATAATCTTAGGTGACACCATGTTTAATGATGCCAACTGGAAATGTGACAACTTGTAAACATTCACATTTCTGGTTCAGGGGTTAAATGAATGGAACTCTTGGAAGGCTTTGGTGAACACAAGTACATTTCATTCACTGGATGAAAGAATGAATAGAAATAGGGTTCTGGAGGGAACCCAGTCTTACCCAAGTATATTTATTACTGGAAACAAATAGCATTTTGAGAAAATCCTAGGTGTGTGGATGATTTATTTACCTGCCTATGATGAACTGCAGAGCGGCTAATGTGGCGGCTTGTTTCCTTTGTGACCTGCAGGTCAACGAGGAGGGAAGTGAAGCAGCAGCGAGTACTGCCGTTGTGATTGCCGGCCGTTCACTGAACCCCAACAGGGTGACCTTCAAGGCCAACAGGCCCTTCCTGGTTCTTATCAGGGAAGTTGCTCTGAACACTATTATCTTCATGGGAAGAGTCGCCAACCCTTGTGTTAGCTAAAGTATTCTTATTCTTTGCACCTTTTCCTATTTTGGTGTTTGTAATAGAAGTAAAAAATAAATACTATTTCCATCTCACAATTATGAATGGACTTTACCACTTGAAGACAAGGGAAGGAAAAACAGAGATGCTGTGAGGGCATTTAGGAAAATGATCCTTTTGATTGTTCTCTAAGGAGTGATCACATCTGGGTCAAGAAAACCAGACTCCAAGAGGGAGTCTCCCATTTCCTGTGTGGGGAACAAGAAATGTTCTCCCTTCCCTCCCCCCATTAGTCTTCTGTACTAAGATAAATCCTTCTAAAACTTCCAAAAAAGAAAAGAAAGAAATGAAAGATGAAAGTATATCTCTATTTCATCTTGAAGGAGGTAGGCATCCTGAAAGGCTAGGGGAAGCTTGAATTCTTAAGTATTCCCATCACACTAAAAAAAAATCCAAAATACATAAACAAATCAATTTCTATAAAGAGATCAAAATCAGAGTTAATCATTAAACCATTTATTTCTCAAACCACTCACATGCATAATGTTGTTTTACACAGTGTTAAAATAAAGAGGAAAATGCATTTTATACAAACAGAATTTCAAGTATACATTAATAGACTTTTCAGATTACTATCCAAGTTGCTAAGGTTTCATTCACATTGTTTTTAAAGCTGTTCAACGAGAAAGCTTTTGCTAAACTGCTTTAAATATGTTTATATAAACCTATATATCTTAACTCTTTCTTGACTCTCCCTCTGCCAACTGAGTCTTGGCCCACCCGCCTGCCCTCCCCCTCCCCAACTCGACAGAGCTCCTGGGGCTTCAGGAGACATACCACCCTCCAAGGACTATTGGCTTGTCTTCAGGGGAAGGACAGAACCTACAGAAGGAGAGTCTGAGAACACCTGTCAAATTAAGGTAGAACAAATCTGAAGCTTAGAGACAGTGCCATTCTGGATCGTATTGTAGAGCTTTGGTGTTTTCACTTGACTTTTAATCAAAAAAGTCTCAGCCTCCCACAAAACAACACAGAAGTTTCTGACAATTTGATGGCTGAGGAAATAACTTAGTAGTAGGGTTTTTTCCCCCCAGTAAAACTTCCAAAATCATGTTAGGCATTTCAATTTAATGGTTGTTTCTTCTTCCCTTTGGCAGGGAGTGGGTGAGGACAGCTTAAAATTTTTGTGTTTACATTTTAAAAATTGGTTAATTTCACAGGTCTGACAAGAGTTCTCTCTCAACCCTCCTCCTGCAGTAATCTGGCTTTAGGGTCAGGAACAGCCACTCTCCTTAGGAATTAAAGTGCATTTTTTTTCAGTAAGGGGGAGGGGGAAAAAGTGGTGGTTTACACATAAGTGATAATGATTAAAGGAGGGTGGTGGGGTGAGAGAAAATCCTATTCCTATATATAGGTATTTATAATTAAGGTCATAATAAAAATGGATAGTCTTAGGAAATAAAGATGAACAAAGTCAGTCTAGCATTCTCGGTGGTGCCAAAAGCACTACACTGGCTCACTGACTTTTCTGAGGCATCTTTACAATTAATGCACTAATTGCTGCAGATGAAAGACACAAATCTCAAACGTTAGACTTTTTTTCAAAGGGAAAAAACAGACTGGTAGGTTCTTATAAAATACTCTATCCCATTTCCTTTCAGGGGTAACATTTTATAAACTGATTGTCTGTTTCAATATGAATTCTCCTTGATTACTAATTGTGAAAACTGTTGTTAGGTACGTTTGCTTACAACTACTACTGTAGCCTTTGGAAACCCAGGAAGAGGCAGGCACAGTTGATTCTTGCTGTCAATCACTATTAATGCAGAGGGAGTGAAATCTTATGATTTTATTTGATAGCTACCACCAGAGACCTATTTTATGTTTTATTTTAAAATCCTTTACTATTTCTTGGGGAGAAATCTCCCAAGTTTCACAAAGAGAAGTAAATGCTACATTATCAGCTGTACAAAGAAGTGATGGGCTCAAGTTGAGAAAGGGGACTTGTCCTGGATTCTGGCCTCTGAGTCCAGTGTGATCTGCTTCACAGTGACCAGTGGGAAGGCACAGTGCCAGGGACAGGTAGATGGGAGACAGCTGTCACCCATCATATAAGCACCATAGAGAACAGTTGGATAGATTTCCTTCAGACTAGGTCCATCTGAAGGAAATAAAATTTCTGCTATATTGACTTTTCCTTCTTTGAACCCTCAGCTGTCTCTTTGCCTCTTGGAGGCAGATCATGAATGGGCACCATCCTGAAATTATGAGGAATCAGGAAATCTGCATGCTCTTCCAATGTGCTCTCCCTTGACTTAGGCAGGCTGATATGTGAAAAATCCAGAGTTCTGATTTTAAGATTTCTTAAAGGGGAAGGAAGCCATTGGTTCCTGACAGAACTGGCAAATCCATGTAAATTCTGCCATCAGATCACAAAATACTGTAACAGGTTAAAACTGTGAATATAGTTCACAGCAAATGACAAGTTAGTAGACTGAGATAGAATACATTTCTACTGTCTATAGCTTGGAAACACTGCTTTTCTTTTATTGAGGGTAGGGAGATGGGACTGTAGTCAGACTAGCATCTATTTAGCTGTTTCAGAAAGGATTTCCTAGCAAGATAAAAAGAATCAGCAAGCCAGCCCATTAGGGCAGAAGTCGACCTAACTTCACAGTCCTGGTAGAGAATTCCTTTTAGGGAATTTGTTTTATTCCTTGCTTAAAATATAGTACATGTTTATATATTTATCTTTTACTACTATTTCTTAACCTCTTCTTCTCTCTCCTCCAAAATCTTAAAATCCAGTGTGGTATAATTTGCATAAAGTTCAACAATTTTTCACAGTACTCTGCAATGTTCTTGGCATGAAAACCCTAAGGGGCTACTTTCTTTGGGCGGCCCAAAACTACTGCTTTTCTATTCCACCCACTAACAGGAAGTCTTCAGCAAATTTTCTAAGGCCTGAACAAATTTTCCCTTGACAATGCAGCATTTACAAGCTAAGCAACAGAAAGGCCTTAATGCCACTTTAAAATTTTTTCATAGTTTGAGGCTACTTCAGTTCTCTGCACTGACCAATTTTTTTCCTCAACCTGCTTTCTTCTTGTACACATCATGTATTTGATGTTCAAATTATCAGTTACTTATAGGCAGTATATGAATGAAATTTTCTGTGGTATTCAGAATACTCTCAGAAAAGAGACTGCTACTTTGAACTTGCTATTTAAACAAACATTTCTTTCATGAATTAGAAATCACTTGGTAGCTAGTTTGAACAGTGGCTCTCACTTTTTGTGGTAAATGAAACAATTTTTTCCTCCCTAATACTTTGTGTGAGGTTGCCATAAGCAGGTAACAAGTTGTGATAGCCATTAAACTACCTGGGATGAGAAGAGTGGAAGATGTGGAACCGCATTTGGGAATTGCTGGGTTAGGTATTTTGACATCCTGGAACAAAGGTGCTAAAATGACACATTTCATATAATATTCAAAAAGATTTAAGCCATAGCTAGTTCATTCAGAAAGAAACAGACAAGGAAAAGAAAGAGTCACTTGACAAGAAATCCCTCTTAAAAGAAGGGCTAAGAGACAATCAAATGTATCACGATCATCCATCCTATGAAGCATCCTTCTTCTTCTCCAGTAATTTTAAAAATGCTGTTTCACAAATAGTACTCACCAGGCAGATTGGGCTGGCTCTTTTAATACATTCAAGGGATTGATTTCAGCTAGCAGAGTTGAGAAATCTCCTTTCCAATCACATATGCAAAGGAAAAAGGATTCTAGAGATCAGACCTTGAAAATTTGTTTTGTTTTCTTATGTACACTTTGTACTTGGTATAGAGAGGAAACTAGACAGATTGCAACATCTTCCTCTAGAATTACTCTGAGGAGGAATGGATGATTCTTTTTACCACTTGTGCCCTGTTCCACTATAAACTTTAAATTGAGAGCCATTCCTAGGATATATCTTATATTAAGAGAACTAGCTTGAGGTTATTTTGCCAAAGACCACAAAGGATTAACAAGGCTGTGACTCCCAAACCTGGCTGCCTGACTGCACATTAGAATCATCTAAGCACTTTTTTCTTTTATGTTGGGATTGAACCCAGGGCCTGGGCATACTAAACATATGTTCTACCACTGGCTCCCACCCCACCCCCCAACTCCCACTCCAACAGCCCCTAAGGAGCTCTCCCCTTCAGATCCCATGTTGCACAACAGACCAATTAAATGTGAATGTCTGGAGGGGTCACAGGCAATTCTAATATGCAGCCAAGATGGAGAACTATTGCTGTAGGTCAACTGGTTCTGTAATGGAAAAGCATAAAGTCAGTGTTCAACCAGACAGAAGAAAGTAAGAAATCTATGGCTTCCTTCTAGGCTCATAAATTTAACATGCCTCAAAGAAGTTAACTAGGCATTTCTCACTTTTTTGTTAGTCTTTAAGGAAGCCAAATAAATCAGTTTGACCAAACTAGGCACCAACACCTACAGTAAAGTACTGACTTAGATAAGACTGCACCTTAAGTATGTATATAGCAAGACATCAGGGGGCCAGCCCTAAGAGAAAACTCTGCATACAAACAATAAGTCAGAGGGAAATTTCTTCCTAAGCAGGAATGAATTCCTGAGTCTAGAATATTAGCATGGCTTATAGACTGAGAACTACTGTATGATTTTTTTAAAAAAGTTGTGAATAGGTTCATATGGTTTGCCACCTAATCGCCTTATAGTACTGTATTTGGCAGAAATACTCTTATCAGTTGTCACTTATTTGGAAATTCATGTTGCCTGTATTCTCCACTTGCCCTACCCAGAGTCACAAGGAAAGTAAATACTTACCAGTTAGTACCTAAAACACAGGGGACAACCTCTAAAAGTCTGAAAATGGCTCTCTAATTTGCACTCCTAACTAGAGAATCCCTATTTAGACACTGCAACCAGTCAAAGCATTAGAATGAAAAGGTGGAAAGCATTCTAGAATAACTGTTAAAGGGCCAACAGCCCCTCTTCAGCTGTAACCAATGTTCAAAAGGTAGGTAAGCTGACTTGGGTCAGTGTATTAGTGCCCCAAATAGGAAGTCAGGTGA